TGCGTATTGTTGATTACTTTTTCACTCTAGTCAAATCTCGTTATATATTCTTTTAAGGTTAGTTAGTAACAGTTGGAAATCAGATGTAAAGAATACTCGCTTTTTTATTGCGATTATCTCCTAAAAGTGCTAATAATAATTATACAATACTTACTATTGACTATTTGTCAAGGTAAACAATATGACACCTCTCACATTCTAATATACAGATTTCGTAATGTTTCCTACTTAACATGTTAGCTTGTTCGGCTGTCAGTAGGTGCTTATTCAACTGACTGTCGATTTATCTCCAGTGTTTAAAGACAAATCCATGTTTCATCCATTTGTACTCATGGTATGAAAAAATCCTGTTTATTGCACTAACATATATCTAAACAACGTTTAGCTTTAGCAATTAGTTGCTTTAATTAGTACATTAGTAAATATGCCATCCATCTTAGTAACAGCCTTCTCATGACAGAAGACATTTAGAACAGTCTTCTAAATATTCATATAAAATATAATCCATTAACAAATGTAGTGATAAAAAACTTGGAACCGGAGCATTGAAAATTTGTGTATCCTTGGCTACTTGTAGAAAAACACAATTAGTCATCACTTCTAATTTGACAGGCACGAGTTCTAAGTCTGGCATTTGCAGTCCAAACAAATTATATACGGACTATAAACTAATTAAAATTCGATTATTTCCTAAGACCACTGAGTACTTGGCAATACTTGAAACAGCTTTGTATGGTCAGCGAAATTTCAATAAATTAATTAAAGAAATTTTGTTGTCTCTTCATTACTGTTTGAACCCTTCTAATAATCCATAAACTTTCTGATGTTTAATCGAGATGAGTCTTCTTTTTCAATTTCTTCTGGCCGAGCAATGTTTTAGGTATTGTTATAATCGGTTTATAAGTACACCTATATTATTTAATTATGTTTTGTATATATTTATATAATAATGTTTTGTTTTTTACTAAAAGTGTATTCTTAATTGACGTACCAGAACTATTATTTTTCAGAATATGCATTGGTCATATTGGATTCCGAAAACAGTCAACTTATCTGAATTTCCCTACAAATCTACCAATATTTACATGACCCGATTGTTAGGATATTTACCACGATAAAAGCATTTTCTTTTAATGATGCGTTATATTCCTTATGTACAGAGTCTTTATCATACTTATTGTCATGATATATTATAACAGCTGTTATAGCTGTTATTATAAGCAGTATTAGATAGATGCTAAACTTTATGAGTAGTGTTAGATCAATTTGTACTGTGCCTTAAAATTAACGAGGAATAAATAAAATATGTGGTTGGTTATTTTAAACAAAAGAAATGTTTAATATTGGTCACTATACCTTCGGCTCAAAAAGTACTCGGATTTTGTAAATAAAACACACAAATTTAAATTTTATTCCAAATTTATTTTATCTTCTTCAAAATATGTTCTTTCTAAAACGATACACATATGCCAACGCTTAACCCAATCTTCCATATACTTTTCGTAGGCCCGTGAAGGTATGGCTTTTAGTTCCTTCAGCGAATTCTCTTTTATCGATTCAATCGACTCATAGCGCTTACCACGAAGGGACAATTTGAGTTTCGGGAACAGGAAAAAGTTGCACGGATCCAGATCTGGCGAATATGGTGCCTGAGCGATGACAGTGGTGCCGTGAATGCCTGAGCGATGACAGTGGTGCCGTGTTTGGTCAAAAAATCGCGTACAATAAGAATTTTCCATAGTAAAAATCGCGAAATGCACTTTAGGTAGTCTTACATTAACAGCTGCTGTAAACAAACTAATTGACAGATGGCGCTCAAATTTGTACCATATATCAAGAAAGGGTGTACCAAGAAAGGGTGAGCAGAAGGTATATATGAAACGGAAATTGTGAGCTGCAGAGTCAAATGATAATGAGAATTCTGTCTGTATTTTTGAAACAGTTCTATAAGTTCTTATTATAACTTTTATATCTTAGATTTTTACAATATATGTTTTATATTTCACTATATTTTAAAATTTGTTTTATTTATGCGCTTTAAAAAAAAAAAACAAATATGGAAATAAAAATATTCGTAAACGACTTGCTTTGGAGATTTTCTTTCAGTATTGAAAACGAAAGTTAAATAAACACTTGGTTGGGTGCTTAGTGCCTATTATAAGTGTAAATATTTTTACGATAGTTTCAACTTTTCAGGCATTTAAGTCCAAGCATTTTATGCTCGACTGTTGTGATAAGTTTATTTGCATGTTGGCATGTTAAATAAAGAAAACTAAAAACTGACAAAAGCATCCATCTTCACATATATGTATATAATTCTTCAGTTTTAATTATAACAGCTTTTTTCTGTTTTAAAATTTTCATGGTTTAGTTATAATTTTAACACAATTTGAATTATTCATATGTAATGTTTTTTGTATTTAACTTTCTTATATAAACGCAAATATGTATGCATTATATTAAATGAAGAATGCATGGAATACTAATAACTATAATAAAAAATTGAAGAGCTTTTGACGTTTCTAAGAAGTATGACTTGTAGTGATTTCAGAAAACTATTTTACATATCTTTACTCTTTATTTGCAATTATTTTGAAATAGCTTAAGGCAGCGTTACTCAAACTTTTTTTGAGATATGCTAGATCTGTGAACCTTTGTAGCCTCCTATCTGTCTTAGTATAATATATATAGTAGCAAATTGCAGCTAACGAAAAATTATTGTTCTAGTAAAACTTATCCTAATATCTCCTTTTTTTCATTAATTTTTTGTGTTTCAGTTCAGTTAGAAATTAAATTGCACTGAAGAGTAATATTTTGCAAAAGGAGTATCAATCTATATCTGTTGTAAAGTCTTTCTAAAAAAAATATACTAAATATTAGTGTTTCAAATACCTTTGTTTGTAATAATGTAGTATATTTTCGTAAGATCAAAAATCACTTCCCTAAACAGGAATTCCGTTTCTAAATAGTTAAATTGCTTACCTGTGAAGTGTACACCACACATTGGGAAACACTGGTTTAGGCTTTTGTCTATTACATGATATAAATTATTCATCGTTAGACCATATCAGCCTTGAATAAACATTCGTCATTAAAAGTGACTATATAAAGCGGTTAGATAAATTTATTAACATAATAATTTAATTGTTAACGTTTTATAGACTCACCATTTTAAACTTCCTCCATGTGACAAATTACCTTATAGTAGTATATTAATTATGAAATCAAATAAATATGTAAAAGTATATTAACTTTTTATAAAATTGATAAATTGACACCTCGCATACGATAAAAATATATATCAAAGTCTAAAATTTATGGTGGAGTGCTGCTGCATTTTATGTTGACCACAAACTAATTGGAAGACTTGAGTTTACTGAAGTAGTCCCACATCCAATTTCATGCCTTTATTGGATTACTTATTTACTTTTTGTTACCTGTGAAGTGGTCGGTCGTATTTTCTGTAGATATCTTGTTAATAATGTAATTACATCTCGTGACGGCATCTGTCTGCTTGTTTTCAATTTAAACTTTTTGTATTTGGTGCTAACTATTGGCAGTAGTGCAATGTTCAATAATGAAGCGTTACCCATTTGACCAATTTGCGCACAATTTCCGGTTCATGTGCCACAGTTGGATTGCTATTTAAGTGAATATTTATTGCGAATTATTTGCATATTCACACTTGTGTTAATCTTTGAATTGTTTTATGTAATTCTTACATCATCTAATATACAACATTTTATGTTCAATATGAACAGTGCATTTATTTTGCCAAACGTTATTTCCTTTAGTTTAGTTCACAATCGTGAAAAGCATTTATAACTGATCATAAACCAATTCATTTCTGCACTTGAATTTATTATTATCTATTTGTTGTTTAGTATATTTAAACTTGATATTTCTGATAATTATTTTGCTTATTATATACTATTTGTGCTATATCGTATTTTTAACATATAATTCGTTTTGTTAAAGTGTAATAGTTAGAGTATAAGTTAGAATTTATTATAGATAATGTTAGACTTTTTCAAACTTATCAAAATGTGACTAAATAAACCTCACGAGTTGTAGTAGGGTGTTCACATATTACATTATTTGTAGAATATTGATATGCAAAAATCCGATTACACGGACACATCTTTTCGATAGTAGATATCAGTAGACTCAACTACTTTTAACAATTTAGCATTTTAATTTATTTAACACATTTACAAAATTGAATTGTTATAATAAAATTTATTTTTCTTGTAATATTTTATATTCTTGTGTAATAATCCTATACTATGTATATATAAAACTCAGCAATTTGCAGATATGTTTTAAAAATTTTTTAATTTTACATAGTATTATTTTGATTTTATTATGACTAATACAAATCACCTGTTTTGCAAGAAATGTTATTTTCTTGCAATGTGTCTCTTAATTGAATCTCAACGAATTAACTTTGAGGTTTCTTCATAACCCCCCTCTACGCCCTGATTGGATTATTGTTTGTCATTTCATTAGACTAAGCAATAATTGACCTCAGATCTGCATACCTCTCCGAATAGTCTGTAACCATTCTGAGATTCGATAACGCGGTGTTGGTAAGCCTGTCAGTTTTCGTAAATAATTTCAGGGCTCTTCATTGATTGACTGTAGAAAAATCCGTTGTTATCTGAGCATCTTAATGAATCGAAACCGTTCTCAAAAATAATATGAAGCATCTAAATTTTTAAACATTAACAGTAGAGTATAGGTACTCAAGTTATTCGGACATCGCATTATACTAGTAAAATAAATAGCGAAAATAAGGAATTGGTTATTCGTTTAGGTTGCTAACTATTAGTTTACATAGGTACGATCTATTGATTGGAATGGATTAATTATTAAAAGCAATAAAAAAACCGATGTGTATAACAAAAGTATTTAATTGTAATTTTATCTATGGAGTAAAATGAGTTGAAGTAGCAGAAATTTGTAAACTAAATTTTTTATTCGAATAAATTTTTTGGCTTTAAAACTATATGAAAACTAACAGCATAATAACATTTACAATGTTTATGATTAATAATTGTATAATCAAACAATAAAAATAAGATTGCATTTTAGACGTTAATTTCTTCTAATTATCTTCATCACATGACATATCTACATTGTCAAGTAACTCCTTTATTTCATCCTTCGTAATTTTTTCTATAACAATCTTATTATCGATACGTTTTAAAGTCATTATCTTCACATTTTCTTCGTTTATTGTACTATTTTTGGAGATCTTTAAAAATACTTTTAGAGCTAATTGCTTAGCTAGCTCCAAATCCGTTTTGAAATCGGTTTTAGTCAATTCTTTCTCCAATAAACTCTTTGCGACTTCAGACTCCCGTCCAATAGCAGTACATAACCAACCGTAATAACTTCCACTTGGATCTGAGTGAAATAGTTGATAACCGTAACGTTCATCCCATCCTATGTATAAAGCTGAAACGGCAAACGGACGGTAAGTACCATATTGCGTGTAGGACTGAATGATGCTGGCTAAATGCCTTACCAATTCTTCACATGGCATTTGTTCACCATATTCTTCAATGTGTTCGTATACAGTATCCTGTAGCTCCGTAGTAAGTACAAGGCAGTCACCTGCAACACCAGACATCGCGCAAATTGTGTCACTGTAAGATATTAATTAGTATTTATAATACCCAGACAATCAATATTGGCCACTCACTTTGAAAGTTGAAATAATTTTCCAGTGCATACAACGGTAGTGTCCCTCAATTTGGTATCACCACCATCTTCCACCGCCAACAAAACACCATCTTCAGCTACAATACCAACACAGCTACCTGCATATGATACGGTCTCCATTGCGTATTCAACTTGATACAATCGCCCTTCCGGCGAGAATTTTTTAGCAGGCAATTCGTCTGACTTATAAAAAAATTTTTATTAGTTATTTGATTATATTAATATTTAAATTTTTTATTTATACTAATTCGATACTTATACTAACCATTATTTTTGGAAATTTATAATATTTTTCTTAAGCAAGATATAACGGATATGCAAGTTTAAGTTAATGATAAGAAAATGGAAAGAAAATTGACTACATTATTTAATTTGATTTTTCTGACATTTAATATAATGTTAACTTTTCTTTAATATTAACATTAATATTAATATTAACATTAAACAAGATTTAGTATTGAATTAACTAATATTGTTAGATAATTAATTATTGTGTTGAGGCTAGTTGAGTCAGTGCACTTGAGCACTTTTACTCTCTATTAACTGCGAGGTTTCTTCAAAACCGTTCTTTGCGCCTTGACTGGATTATTGTTTATCACTTCATCAGAGTAAGCAATAATTGACCTCAGATCTGCATACCTCCCCGAGGAGCCTGTAACCATTCTGAGATTTGATAACGCGGTGTTAGTAACTCTGTCAGATTTCGCAAATAATTTTAGGGCTCTATCCTTTATGTATTTTTTGATGGGGATTAATCTTGAGGTCCCTGAGGATGTCATTCGTCCTAATGTACCAAGGAACTTTGAAAAGTCTTCTCAGAGCCTGGCTTTGTGCAATTTCTAACTGGTGAATAGTAGTGTTTGAAGCTTTGCTAAACGCTACACAACCATATAGAAGTGGTGGACAAATTATTTGGTTATATATCAAAATAATAACTAATTATAACTTCTATCCCATTGTATTTATAACCCTGTCTCAGTTAGTACCTATGCAGTTAATATCCAAAAACAAAATTTTTAAAGCATATAATACATTATTCTAATTAAAAAATAATATATAAAATTATAATTGTCATTTATTTTAATGTTGATACTGTATTTTTAAGATTGTCAGAGAGTATTGGCCAAGAACAGTAAGCGAAGAAATGTGATAGATAAAAAAATTTATGAGAAACTGCAATTAATCGATTATCCTAACGATTTCAAAGTAAAGTATCTCAAAATTAATTAGTGAGACCTTAGTTAAAATTGAATGTTAAAGATGTTTCAGTTTTTGCAAACAAATATATGTAATCATCTCCACAAATACATAATTACTAATATTAATAAAATTAATATTAATTATATACATATATGTATACATTGATATGTATGTTATACTTATGGTGAAATTTTAATGAGTCGTTAAAATAAATTTTTTTTTGGAAGAAAGAAGAAGGTATAAATTTTTGTAGATCCATAAATTATATATCTTAATTTCTAATTAAATTATGAATCTTAACACTACTTTAAGCCTCGGATTGTTTAGTTAATATATCGCATGAATGATTAAAAGTTTTGCCTACTATAACTAATACGATGTCTGCAAAAGTTTAAACAATGAAAAAGGTCACTCTGCCTAAGTTGTAGCACTAGATTTTATTCTTTAAGAAAATCTATATTATGTTAGAAATAGTGGTGGAGCTATGTTGTTATTGCTTTAGCTTTCAGAGAAGAATTGGAGAATTATTTTCTTTTTTCGTGGCTATTTTTTTTGTGAGAATTTCATTAAAACTCTTCAAGTTAATGGCACAGTTATTTCTAAATTTGTTAAAATGTTTTCTGCGTTCGTTACATTTACGACCACTAATTCAGCATTTAGAAAAACTCTTGTCAATCTAAAAATCAAACTTCTAAAAAACACTTTAAGCTTTGTTTAGACTCTTTTACTTAACTCGATCAAAATACAGCAATATGTGCAATTTCTTATACAAAATCCATACAAAACATCTATAAAAATATGCTTAGTAGATTAGATAAGCCTGAGAGTAAACATTATATTAGATACTTAATTAAGAATATTTACTCTGTCTTGCAAACTTATTGCAAGGTGCAAGAAATGCATAGGTGCACCTGGCAATGATTTTACATGATAGTTTGAATACTCCAATTGAAGTTTTAACTATAAACATTTTGATGTCAGTAGTTCATCTATCACTAAATTTTATTAT